GGCCGCCGGCAACAGAACACTTTGACAAGTGGACCGTTGACGGCCTAAGGCTCAGTGGAGGTGGCCGTGGTGGGAGCTAAGGCGGCAGCTAGCCAGGGCCGCCTCCATCAAATGGGGAACAGTGGTACACCAGTCGCGGCCACTCAGCTAACGGGAGTGAGAAGGGTCCAGCGGACCGATGAGTGGCCGTGAAGTTCCTCTCCACACGCTTAGGGGGGGGTGATGACACCCCCGCCCCTGGGGGAATTACCCCCGACTGGTCGGGGGAGGGACCCCTTTCAAACTTAGGGGCCTGATGGCTGGCCGGCGGGCGCCGAGAGTCGCCCGGCAGAGGGCGTGGCTGAGCGCCCCCGCCCGTGGGGGTCGAGGGCCTGGCAGAGCCCCGAGAGGAGACGCCGTTCGCACTCAGGCACAAAACGGCATGATGATTGCTCTGGCAATGCAGACAGGGCCGCCGATGCGGACAGTCTCGCTGGAGGTGTCCTCCCAAACATGAGCAGCACCAGCGGCGCTCCTTGGCGATAGTTCGCCTCGCTGGAACCAGCTTACCTAATAATTTCGGGCACGACGTTACCCGATGATCAGATGCTCGACAATAGGAGCAGGGGGGGGTTGACGACGACTTGCCTGGAGGATTCAGCCTCTCACTGGGCACGGCTCGTAAGTCGTCAACGGTGCCCGCCGCGCTCTCTATCTGCCGGCACTGCTCCTCCAAAAACCGCAGCAGGTCATAGAAGGGCGGAATATAGGAGGCCTCGTCCCCGCCATACCTCTCCTCAAAATGGATTCGAAGGTCGAGAGGTAGACGGGACAGCACGATGCGGAGCAACAAAAAAGCCCATTCGCCCACTGGTAAACCCAGCCGCCTCAACGTATTACAGGCCACCAAGACTGGATCCAACAGGTCCGGACGCAGTCTGGCCCGGTCACTAAGCAGCGGGAGGCTTAGAAGCTGCTTAACATGTTCGTCCGCAATTCGCCGGACGTTGGCGTATCTTCTGGCTAGGAGGTCCCGAGCAGTCTGGTAGGCGTCGTCCGACAATCTCAAGTGGCCGACGATGCCCAGGGCCTCCCCCTCCAGTGAGGCCAGGAGGTACACCATCTTTTGGCTCGGGGTCAAGTCACTCCGGGCGTCCACTAGGCTGTCGAAAAGACCAACGAAGGTCAGCCATTCGGAAAGGACCCCGGAGAACTTTGGCAGGTCCAGAGTTGGGAGTCGTCCCAACAGCTCCGGCTGAAGCTGCTTCAGAGAGGACTCGGACAGATCACTCATCCGAGCTTCACGCGCCTCCTCGGCATACCTGCCTTCATCCTCGATCAACTCGTCCGTGAGCCACAAGAACTGCTCATAGTCCGCGAAGCAGGAGTCCAGGGCTCCCTTCTCCACATCCGAATCCTCGAGCTCAGCGTAAGCCTCCTCCACTGCGGCCCTTCGAGCATCCACCTGCTCGAACCGCTTCATCAAGTTATGGACCCTATCCGGTCGACCTATCAAAGCATGGGCGCTTGTGGCCCAGCGTAGCTCAGTCCGCAAACAACGGATCAGTAGCTTGGGCGATGTCATCACTATTAAATGCAAATTACGACGCGGCTTGAGCACAGTTTACAAAGATAACAAATAAAGAATACAACAAAAAATTAACAGTTAATAAATGCAGTTCCTATCAAATCGCGTTGAATAGAAATTACACAAATACGAATTGCTACGTATCAACCAAATACAAGTTAGCACAAAAGAAAAGACACAAATCAAATTAACAAATAACAAATACTAGTGCGATCGAATCAAGTTAAATTCAAATTGCGCAAATACAAATTACTACTCTTTAGTTCAAATACAACTTACAGTATAAACGACGATACACATCACGGTCGATCAACAAAAAATGCCTAGCTCGGAAATCGACCCTTCGATAAGTAATCCACTACAACTATCCGACAACGATAATTAACCGATTACGTAAAAATAATCATCTACCTACATGACGTATATCTCTAGAAAACTCCCGCTTGCGCAACCTAGGGCGCGGCTTTTCAAATCTGCCTACTAACCAAAAAAAAGGCAAGCAACAAACAACTTAGGGAAATAATTCTATTATTACGTACAAAAAATATTTTTACGTATTACGGGCGGGCGTGATTGTAGATACAAATTAAACCAATCAAACCAACGCTCCCTGCCACCAGAGTTGTTTAATGTTTATCAAACACTATGGTCGGGATCGACCGGGAATCGAACCCGGAACCACGCTCTGCTACCAGTTTGTTACGGCCTACGGCTGCTCCCTTAAAGGATCCAATCCTCAGGGGCCCATGAGCTGAAGATTTCCCGAACAGACGTAGGTCGGGCCCCAATGTGGCCACGTGGAAATTCCTAATTACATTAAAATATATGGGGGAGCGTTATACTACGGCCAGTCGACCGGAAGGAATTTGGATGAAGCTTACTTACCTATCCAAGGCGACTGGTCCCTCCGGAGTCGGTCAGGTCGCATGTGGTTGTGTAGTGCAAGGGAAAGAATGGTGATGTGGTGTGTATCTGGGTGTGACTGATGGTGATTGAACCTAGACCTTGGCCGTCGGCAGCAGCCCGAGCGTCGACACCGCTCCAACTTGAGGGCGCCTTTCGAGGTTGTCCACAGTCACTTTCTTCTTTCGTCACGTTGACAGTCAATTAACTCTATCGTACGATTTACTAACTTACAGAAGCCACTAACTATCGCTGGTTATAAGGTTAACACACAAAACGCACACGGAGTTTACAGTTTATTAAAGGTCACTACCGTTTCGCGTCGCAACAGCTAATTCTAGAATATTAGAGGCCGCACTAGCTAATATTGCTTAATGCACTTATGCAGATTCTGAGTCAAACACAATGAGTCCCTGGGAAGCTCTCCAGCAGGAATGCGCGTCACAATGATAGACCGTATATTTACTGGCCGCGCCGAATTATTCCGAGTTCCCTAACAGAATACAGCGTGCCAATCGTTAGCACCGCTTATGGACGACTGCCCTTGGGCGTTCCACGCACGACCGAATGTCAAACCGGTATGACACTGAGCCGCACGCCCTCCCGCGTCCGTCCCTTGAAAGTGTTTGGCGCGAACATAAACCATATAGTAAATATCTGTTAAAATTATTCCGGAAATGTTATAGTCTTGATAGTAAAAAGAAATGCTTCTGTAACAATAAATGTTAACTGTACATTTCTTTCATCTCATGTTTTCCTTATGAGTTACATGGCGAATCAACCTACAAAAATTTATCAAGCAATGTTTCTGACCATTTTCCATTATATCTTTGTTCCGTGAGCAATTTATCTTGATGGAATCGTTCGCTATGTTTATCTGATATTGCTGAAAGATTTTCGGTCAGTAAATGCAATTTTAGGGACATGTTGCATTTCAGAGCTTTATATTAAGAAATAAGTTTTTAAAAGATGTAGTTATAGCTTTGGAACTTATTGTTACCTAGAAAATTTTGACAAACTTAATTCAATTTAATTTTAAAAATTGGATCCTTTTTTAGCTTTTGTGTTTACAGACCTGCGGAAATTCCTTCTTTAAATTTAGCGTCACTGATTCGCGGAAATTGGGTTTTAAGGTAGGTATTGCGCCTTCACCGTCCTTGTACATTGCTTTTAAAATGCAATTGTGAAATATACAGTTAACTAGTCATTATCTTTCTTTATTTTTTTTATAACTATTTCGTGTTTACCAGTGCAAAGGTATGTGGGAATAATATTTGTAGCATAAATATATCACACATGGATTTTTGAGTGATTGTAAAAACGTTATAAAAAATATACGTGACAGCGAAAAAGTACGAGTAAATACAGATTTAGACTAAGTACATTATATCTATTCATCCAAATTATGTCTATTCAAAGGAGGGTTTTGCTGCAGACCAGTTTTATTTTTTACCATATATTCTCCTTATGGCCTTTCCAATTTATAATGTAAGGGTAGCTAATCAACAAATTAAACTTTTATCTCAAAAAAGTTATAGTAAAAACTATTTTATATTATGTACCACTCTACAAAGTAAACACTTAGTAATATATTATATAGGTATAAGTGTGATTGTGTACCGTGGTCGCATTACAGAGCATAAAGCAAGACGATGAGTCCCCGGCGTCTCATTCGCACACATTGACGACGGCTACATCTTGAGCCCTTATCACTAAATCGTTATTCGAGATTGAAAAGACCTATCAATTTCCCGTTCTATTTTCGTCGTCACTGGCGATTAGTGTGCACATATTAAATGTTTACGTCTGTCTCATGACTATAAGTAATTGCGTTGGAGGTTGTTTCTTATATAATATAACTGTCTTTTGTGTACATGCACATTTGAATATTCACTTTGATTAATATATATTCGAAGATATGTATTATAAAAGTTTCTTTTCTTATAAGTAATCTTGAAATGAAAATTAATCTTTCGCTTCTAAATAGACAAAGAACTTTACTTTGTTCATTAGACATATCGAACAGTTGTCACGTTAGTCTAGCAGTTTAAATAATATTTATAATTATATTGGAAGGAAATGGATATAATAATATTATTAATATAGAGAAGGAGGGCGAGAATTGGGTATGTAAAGAAAATTACACACCATACTCATTTTGAAACCGTTGCGTTTAATTATAAGCCCTATTATGCTTTTTAGAGGTCTTAATGTTGAAATAATAATATTGTACTTTACTCATTACAGAGACAACAATCTTTCTTTCTCTGTGGTAGTACTATTCGTACATAGAAATGACTTATCTATGATTTTTGTACTCTGTGGTATCTCATTATTAAAACTGCGTGTTAATAAAACTTCTTTTTACTCTTTTAATCAAAAATACATCAGGTTATGGGCCCAGTCCACCTTATTACTTCCAAATGTTAATAAGAAAAGTATAAGTGATAAAAGGAAAAGTAAAACTGTCATATTAGTAGTTCCGTATAAGTATAACCATCAGTCAACACGTGTTTCTGTGCACAGCAAAATGTCTTCTAATAATACACTGGCACTGATTGAAAAGCTGACCGGAAGAGAGAATTATCCAACGTGGAGATTTGCCGTCCAAACATATCTTGAACACGAGGAATTATGGCATTGTGTCACAGCAGAACAAAAGGTCGATGTCAAACAAGATACGAAAGCTAAGTCCAAAATTATTTTATTAGTTCATCCCATAAACTATGTACATATACAAGAGGCCAAAACTGCCAAAGAAGTGTGGACTAACTTATCTAGGGCTTTTGATGACAGAGGATTGACACGCAGAGTTGGCTTATTAAGAGATCTGATAACCACAAAATTAGAAACATGCCAAAACATTGAAGACTATGTAAATAAAATTATGTCAACCGCACATAAATTAAGAAATATTGATTTTGATGTAAAAGATGAATGGCTGGGAACTTTGCTCCTAGCTGGTTTACCCGAGGTCTATCAGCCGATGATTATGGCCCTCGAAAGCTCCGGTGTGGCAATATCAGCTGACTCTGTGAAAACTAAACTCCTTCAAGATGTGAGAAACTCTGATTCTAATGCCTTATATTATGTTAATAAAAGCAAAGGAAATAAGTCGCAGATTGCCAAACAAGCTTCAGACAAGATCAATAAGTCTAAAGGTCCCAGGTGTTATACGTGCAATAAATATGGGCATGTAAGTAAATATTGTCGAAATAAGAAACAAAAGTCAGAAATATATAGTAATAATAGTACCAATTATGTAGCTGTATTTTCTGCAACAACAAGCAAGGACAATGGGTGGTACATAGACTCTAGAGCATCAATGCATATGACTATGCACAGTGATTGGCTCTATGATAAAAACCCACCTCCGATTAGTACCATCAAGGTGGCGAATGATAAGAAACTTTTTGTAGAAGCCTGCGGAAAGATAAATTTAAATGTTGTCAGTAGCAATGGCAAGATGAATACAATTCAAGTGCAGAATGTTCTCTATGTTCCTGGGCTAGCCACCAATCTTCTTTCTGTTAGTCAAATCATTAAAAATGGATGTCAAGTACAGTTTGATCAGAAAGGTTGCAAGATAATAAACAAAAACAATGAAGAAGTTGCCGCTGCAAAGATGATAAATAATATGTACAGGCTAAATACTCACAGCGTTCCAGCATACATATCCGCATCAAAAGACAATGATTGTTATCTATGGCATCAGAGAATGGCCCATTTAAATTTTGAAGATTTAAATAAACTAACAGAATCTGCAGGAATCAAGTTAGAAAATAAAGAAAAGGTAATATGTATTTCATGTCTACAAGGAAAGCAATCAAGAATACCTTTTTCTCCTGAAGAATATCGAGCACAAGCAAAGCTAGAGCTCATTCACTCAGATGTCTGTGGACCTATGGAGGTACCATCTCTCGGAGGAGCTCGCTATTTCGTTACCTTTATTGACGATTTTACCAGAAAAGTATTTATATACATATTAAATAAGAAATCTGATGTGTTTGAGAGATTTAAAGAATTTAAAGTTTTAGTGGAGAACCAACTTGATTTGACTATAAAGACTCTCCGTACAGATAATGGAACTGAATATTTAAGTAATGAATTTCAAACTTTCCTTAAAAGGTCTGGAATTTCACATCAAACTACCGCTCCTTACACTCCCCAACAAAATGGTTTGGCAGAGCGAATGAATAGGACTCTCTTAGATCGAGCAAGATGCATGCTACTGAATGCTAAACTGCAAAAACAGTATTGGGCAGAAGCCGTATCAACTGCATCATACATCAAAAATAGGTGGCCAACCCGAGTGTTAGAATTTTTAACCCCAGAAGAGAAGTGGAGTGGTAAAAGGCCAGACATTACTAATTTAAAAATCTTTGGGTGCGAAGCCATGGTGCATGTTCCAAAAGAAAAAGCCAAAAAGTGGGACTCAAAGACAAATATAATGATTTTTATTGGTTATAGTGAACAGACAAAAGGATATAGGCTTTTAGATCCAAAGACAAGAAAAGTAATCATAAGCAGAGATGTGATTTTGACGGCTCCGTGGCGCAGTGGCTTAGCAATGAGTTGCTGCGCTGGGGGGCGCGGGTTCGAATCCCGCACGGAACAAGTATTTGTATGGCCTACAAATGATTTTTCCATGTCTGGATGTTTGTCCTTGTGAAATTTGTGTTTGTAAACTGCCTCCACGATACAGGAGAAAATCCTAGTGTGGGGGTAACGTTTTTTAAAAAAAAATATAAAAAAATAAATAAATAAAAAAAAGATTTTCATTGAAAGTTCAGTTAAGAGAGATTATGCAATGATACCATTATCAGAGTCGGTCTCAGAACCTAAGACTATTGAAGATAGCTCTACCACTAATGATACAACATTGGAAAATGTACCTGAAGATACTGAAACAAAGTCTGAAAGCAGTGATGAATTTTTTCACTCAGATGAAGGATCCCTTTATGAACCAGACCAAATAATTGATCCAACAGAATTAACACGAAATATAACAACAAGATCAAAATTAAGAATGGCTAAAATGCAGGCTAATACGTATATATGTGCAAATAAAGTTTCAGAATTAGAGTATGTTCCAGAAACCTACTCTGCAGCAATATCTTTAAACAATGTGAATGCAAAGAAGTGGAAACAGTCAATTGAAGATGAGTTGAGAGCACATGAAGAAAATAAAACTTGGAGTCTAATAGAAAAACCAAAGGGAGTACGATTAATTGACTGTAAATGGGTCTTTAGAATAAAAGATGATCCAGTCCAGTCTTTAAATCAAGAATCTGTGCCAAGGGATGTGGACAAAAACGAGGCATTGACTACACCGAAGTTTACTCTCCTACAGTAAGATATGATTCAATCAGAGTTTTACTTTCAGAAGCTGTTCAACATGGGTTAGAAATTTCCCAGTTTGATGTGAAAACTGCATTTCTGTATGGAGATGTAAAGGAAGATATATACATGAAGCCACCCGAAGGTTTGAAAGTTGAATCGAATCAGGTTTGTAAACTTTATCGATTACTCTATGGATTGAAAAAATCACCAAGGTGCTGGAATCAAAAATTTGACAGCCTACTAAAGAAATATGGCTTTATTAATAGTCATGCAGATAAATGTGTTTACATTGGGAATATAAACAACAATAAAGTTTACTTGCTACTGTATGTCGATGATGGGCTTCTTATGTCTGGTTCAAAAGACTCATTAAATAAAGTAATTTTTGAATTAAAAGAAAATTTTAAAATTAAACAGTGTGAACCAAAGAATTTTGTAGGATTACAAATAGAAAAATTAGAGAAGTGTATTTTCATCCACCAATCAAAATATATTGAACGGTTATTGTGTAAATTCAATATGCAAGATGCTAACTGCAATAAAAATCCAGTCGATCCTCATACTACTCTGGAGATGGGAACTGAGGCTTCAGACAAGAATATTCCATACAGAGAGGCTGTGGGGTCACTAATGCACCTGGCTGTGGTAAGCAGACCTTATATCATGTATGGAGTCAGTCTGGTGAGTAGATATCTGAATTGTTATGATCAAACTCATTGGAATGTTGTTAAGAAAATACTGAGATACTTGAAAGGAACAAAAGACTATGGTTTATGTTATTTACCTTCAAAGAGTAACCTTGAAGCTTATAGTGATGCAGATTATGCAAAAGATACAAGCACACGCAGGTCTTTAACTGGATATGTATTTATGAAAAATGAAGCTGCTGTAACTTGGGCAACACAACGTCAACATAGTGTAGCATTATCTACTACTGAAGCAGAGTTCATGGCCGCATGCTCTGCGACAAAAGAAGCTATATGGTTAAAGAGATTGTTAATGGACATTAATGAATTTAATCAGAATTCAATCTGTTTAAACATTGATAATAAAAATGCAATTTGTTTAATTAAAAATGTAGACTACCACAAAAGATGTAAACATATAGATATAAGATATAACTTTATAAAAGAAAAATATTTAGAGAAACAAATAGATCTTAATTATGTGAGCACTAAAGAGCAATATGCTGATATATTTACTAAAGCTTTATCAAAAGATAAATTTCAATATCTTAGAAGTAAAATCGGTGTAAAGCAATTATAACTGTTATAATAGTTTTTTTTTGAGAGTTTTCAGATCACTCCTTTTTGTTTAATATTAAGATGTAAAGTTCAAATTTGGTGAGAGTGTTGAAATAATAATATTGTACTTTACTCATTACAGAGACAACAATCTTTCTTTCTCTGTGGTAGTACTACTCGTACATAGAAATGACTTATCTATGATTTTTGTACTCTGTGGTATCTCATTATTAAAACTGCGTGTTAATAAAACTTCTTTTTACTCTTTTAATCAAAAATACATCACTTAAAAAGAAGGGATGGCATTTATTTTATCAAATTAATTAACATCTATGTCACTTCGAAATGACATCATGAACTATACTAAATGAAGTGAGGCCAATATCTAGCGCACGTGTGTATAATTAGTCTAAGACCTAGTGATATAATAAAACGCGTTGTCTTCTTTCTTGTCAATTTTTTTCTTCTGAGCAAAGAGTCAATGTCTCGGTTTTGTTTATAAAATACAATTATATTTTTGGATTATTATATTTTTTCTTTGTACTTTGCTCAATTTCTTATATAGTTGTTGCACACAACTCCATTGCAGCCAGCTTCGTTGCAGCTCTAATGTGTCCGTTTACAGTCTGCAGATTAGTGGTAGAGTTATAAGCACCATCAGATTAACAAAAAATATTTTAGTCAATCGAATACTGTTGAATTATTTATGTTATATATTACGTATATATTATATTAGGCTAAGGGCCGTGGAGTCGCAGTCTCTGGATTCTCATCTTATATTTCTTAATACGTGAATAATCGAATTCAATTTTCGCCGTCACCACTCGATTTGTTAATAGCAGTTGCAAGTTCCTATTTACCACGTGCTCGGAGGTGATATGAAATATCTGAGGAAACATGCTAATCTGAAATAGTATTTTTACTTTAAAATTAGAATGCCATATGAGCTACTAGATAATAAGATATCTGCAACCAATTATAACTGAAGAAACTACAGATGCGTTGCTATCTTAAGGACTATAGAAATTCCTTATTTAAAAAATATTAAAAACTACAGCCATATCTATATACGTCTAAATGATGGGTACTGGCCTTCTCTCTCTCTCTATCTCTCTATCTCTCTCTCTCTCTCTATCTCTCTCTCTTTTATATTATGAGGGCGACTAACGGGCACACAGTCCATCTGATGGTAAGTGGTTGCTGCGGCCCCAAGACATCACCACATCTATCCTCTATTACAAACCAAAATGCAGATGCGTTGTCCCGTGGGGACTAAGATGGGTTCTCTACACTCACAACACGAAACACAGCAGCGTTAAGCTGCTGTTTTACGCTGGTATTCTGTGAGAACGTGGTCCTTCCCCGGTCGAGCCGACCCATTCGTGCTACAACTATACTACTAACATAGCTGCAGCATGGCTCTATCACGTAAAAAATTTCTCTCTACTCTGTTTCTTATTTTCTAAGACGTTTGTAGCGTAAATAAGTGCAATTTGAGTTGGTTGACTTCAGATAATGTCTTCGAAATGCGTATAAATTAGAGTACGTGGAAAATCAGCACTTAAAATTGCAATTTATAATTTCATTGATGCCGGTGGGGTTTGCTCGAAAAATATAAAATTTACGGCTAGCGCTTTGCCCCTGAGCTACAACTTTGTTACACAACATGGTTCAAATTACGTTTGATGACATTGTTTACTATGTTTGCTGTAGGCGCGCTGGAGGGCGGTCCTCTGGGCGGCGGCGGTGGCGGCGGCGCGCTCGGCGCGCTGCGTGCGGCCGGCTCGCCGCCCGCGCCCAGCCTCGGCGCCAGCCGGCACAGTCTCATAGGTAAATTTGTGTTTTATTTTAGTTTTTACCCAACTGCCCTAGAAGGAGAGTAATATGTTCTTCAAGAGTATATATTATGTATGTCTATTTCCTTGGCACACTCTGTAGCCTAAATCATTTTATGCTTCTTAACATACGGGGTATCTTTAGAATAGTCTTGGTTGTAGAAGTGAAATAGGATATAAGCTTTTCTCTTTTCAGTAAACTTTTTTACACAGTCGTCTTTTTAATATTACTGTTTTAACCTTAAACTACTATTTTAACTATATTGCATTTTATAAAATATACAGATTCATGCTAATGTGGCCCATAGACATCTTAATCTATCCTCAAATAAGAATCAAAATACAGATACGTTGTCTTCCCTGAGGACTAATATGGAACGCCTCGTTTCAATTCTCTCTACACTCACGCTGCTATTTTTATTCTGTGAGAACGTGGCTCTTCTCTGGTCGAGCCGACTTTTTGTGCTACAACCATAATATACATATAATTAAAAAATGTGTCCGTCCCGGGTGAATCTTTTAAAAAAATGCTCAGTGGTTAGTTGTTAGCCATCAAGATGATGCGGATAGAACTTAGGCTGCAATCTATAGACCGTACTTTGACTTTGCTCAGACTTTATTTACGAAAAACTTAGCTGTATACGCTTAGCATAACCTTTAGTTCTGAATTTATAGTTGCATCGGGCTAAGATTAAGGTAAGCTTATGCTAAGGCCCAGACAGTCAAAAAATTAACGGATGCTTTATTCCATGCATTATGTTCTTGATTTTATTGTATAAAATTAAAAAATAAATAATAATATTAAAATTCGAAAACAGTCCAAATTGCATTACATAAATGGGGTATTATACGAAGTAGAAAACGGGCGTATGAGAACGGGAACGGATGAGATGAGTGCAAAATCAGAAAAAATAAGGTTTTAAGAAATTCGAAATAAGTTTGAAATTACTTTAATAGAAAATGTATTAGTTCTATTTAAAACTAGAAGACAGCCTAAAACTACCTATTTATTGTTATAAATAATTAGAGTAACATAAAAACAACTATTTGTAATTAATACGGTGGTTTCGGATAATATCCTGAGTTTTACGTAAATCATCGATTTCGTTGACTTAGGATTTGGTGAGCGTGCACTCAGCACGACTTCGAAGTTAGCTCTATAAATACCGACATTGTCTTAGCTCGAAAGTAAAGTCTGAGCAAAGTCAAAGTACGGTCTATAGATCTCAGCCTTAGTGTCGTGCCGCACT